GCGGAGTGCTGTGATAGTGTGAGGATTACGAGGAGAGCATAGAGCAGTGTGGCGATGACATTCGATGGGTCGCCAGATCTGCAGAAGCACTTCCTCCTCTAACTTTTATCTATGATAGACATAGGGACATGCGAAAATTGCTGAGAATTATGAGATCGGAAATTGTTCAAGAAAACAGAAATATTAAGTAAAAAAGTCCCAAAAGTTTCTAACTATTTCCGTTTCAGGAGTTCTTTTTCGACAACGTCACCACAGAAGATCTGGACACAAAAAACGTTACGGTAGCCGCATTTCATCATGGTGGAGCCAAACTGGGTAAAGATCTAATGATTGGTGAGGCCACGATACCACTTCGTGAAATTCGCGAATTGAATACAAAGAAGGAGGTGAAAATCATCGAAGAGATCAAGCAACAAATACCTAAGGTTTGTTTGATATACTTTATTTTTGATATTAAAACATACCCAGTCACCTTCTGGCTATCTCTTCTTCGTATTTACTCGGTCATGTTTTGTTAGCAAATTGATACTACCTAACCTACCTTTCTTCCTCTTGCTGTTTCCCAAACTGAAGTGAATGCACTTCCGGGATAGGTCATAAGTGACTTCAGTTCCTTCTCATGCAGAACACCGGTAGTAGCATTGTTTAAAATACTCTTTATGCTATAGAACTGCGTTAGGACCAGCTGCAATTTAAAGAATTGCAGAGAATTAGATGTAAATGGTCGAGTAGAGTCATTTTGTATGACTAGGACCTTCCAATGACTCTGTCACATCCGAGGACCTCTACCTATTCGAAAAATTCTGTCACATCTGAGGACCTCTACCTATTCGAAAAATTCTAAAGTAATGTGTTATTGCCAAACTTTGTAATTACACTCTTTAAGGAATAGAGAATAGCGCTTCAACGTGGCTAACAGAAGTTCGTTGTGGCTGATTGAATAAGGTGCATTAAATGCATAAAATAAAAGGATCACTAAGGAATGCTCTACCGTTTACTCCCAAACTTGTATCTGCGGTATTCACTATGAACGTTTATTTGCAAAATTTGAAAGTGAGAGATGATTTTTTGAAACAAAGTATACATCACATAAGGGAGTGATTGATGCAAAAGTGTAGACATTGACATTAGGGTAAATGAACGCACGCTTCACCCTTACAAACAATCCTTTGCACCTACGTTTCTACCCATCAAGTAATTCTTTCTAAACTTATTTTTAAATTGGAAATTTCATAATTAAACCGTTTGCAGGAATTTAAATAGACGAACTATGCACTAAGTATAAATATACTCAAATCATTTTGGAAATAGCAATATTTATGTTATACGGGTAGTGGCCTCTATTCTCACACTTTTTTCTGCATTGTACATCTTGATTCCGTTTTTTCCAACGCTTGAGCTAATTTCCTTGTTTTGCCACGTCTTCCGCTATTATCTGATTCAGATCAACACATAAACTACTCCCTCATGTCTCCCGAATCCTTTCATCTCTTTCTTTCGAAGAATAACAAAGATTTGATCCCATCTTCAAAATAAGTAGTGCAAGCTTGCGGAACGGTATGCGTGCTAGCATGTGAATGAGGGATTGGAATCGAGTCGTCAGACAGTCGTGCATGCCGGATTTAGTAAAAGTGAAAGTCGTGCAATGCATAGATAAGTATTTATGAACGTCTGTCGTGTGGCATACGCATACACACATGACAAAAACATCGTTAGTTCGTGTCAGGAATCCTGATGAGTTCGACTGAATACCGAAATTGGTAAGGGATGAGGGAATTTCCTGGAATGAAGGTAATCTAGTGTCTGGGATGCGTGTGTTCGTCAATTCCTAAAAGGCATGGATGAAATTGTAGCAACGTAATTTTCATATTTGAATATGAGAAGCACTTAATGCTGAAAGAACTGATGGTCATCTGGGTGACCTTATGTGCATGAATGTCCACCTTAGTTTTTCTAAGACAAAAGCATTTTTCACGTTTTTTTTCTGTTTGGATCTGCTTTTCATTACAACATCCAGACACATTAGGACACTTCATTCGATGAAATGCTCTAAGAATGCTTGGATACATCATTTTTTAACGCAAAATGACCTAATAAAAACGTTATTAGATCGTTTTGCGTTAAAAAAATGACGCAAAGAGAGTCTGCTTGTGAAATCCACTTTATCACTTTATTCCCATTTTGTCATGATAAAGTCCAGTACAGCTCACCTCCCACTCGCTAATGGTTTTTTAGCAATGGAGCAGTTGATAGGGAGATATAGGACACAAGCATGCTGCTGTGCCTACAAACTGTTCAAAAGGTGGAAGATCTATAAAACAAACTTTCAACGGAACATATGCGGCAGACAATGCTAAAAAGCTTTTTCAGACGAGAGCATCTTTGGCCTAATTCTATCGCAAATTTATTGTTTTTGCACTGCAGTCCTGAAGCACACAATGATACTTTCTTGGCTGATAACCTCCATCGATCAAGCAGTCGTTCCTATTATTTTGCAGGAAATCAGCAGAAGAAATCTTGCGTGCATTTCTTGGTCCAGGTGGGCTGCAAGTAGCGCTTTTTCTTCAATATGTCCTAGACGAAGATGCATCGAATTGCCTGCGTGTCGAAAGGGCTTGCACTTTCAAAGCGATTTTGTCGTAAACAACATTGAAAATCCCGTAAGAAATCGTTCTAACATGAAGATAGCAAACTCTGCGATTTCTTCTTTTGTAAGGGGTATCTCGAATGTACAATATGCAACTATGGGTGGATGGTGAATTACAAGTAATCCTTGAATATTCTGAAGTGTATTTGTAAGTTATGAAAGACTGGTAATCCAGGCTTTTTTTTAGGAAAAATGCCAAAATATGCATGAGCTTTTAATGTGCTTAGATTACTTTTGCGAATCTCGGCTGCTCGGCCATATCAAGACATCGTCTGCCGCATCGAAGAGCAAAATGTGGTGGTCGAAGATTTGCTTATATAGTCAAGGCATCGGCCTC